AGACCCAGAACAAAATGTAACACCACATTAAGACCCCCGATATATCCTGGGTTTTCAGTAAAATTAGGTGATCATTTTCCTTATGTTTCAAATTTATATTTTGATTTAAGGTTTACCTGTGTAGTTTGTACATAGGCTTATCAGTTATTTCAAATTCTTTATAAACTATTAACACCAGTAAATAACTATAGAGATTATCTTTTGTTCAAAGACATGATTTGGAAATTAATGTAGAACATCCAATAAAATAAATATTATAACCTTACTGCTACCAAAAAATTTTAACCAGAGTTTTAAATCATGCACTCCTTTTTAAAATTATTTTCTTTCCCAAGTATTAAGCACTGGATGATTCTCCTCTATTCTCAATATCGTACAAGCCAGCAACTATACAACCATCACACACACACACCAAATCCACTCCAGCCGCTTTCAGAGAGACCCAGCACGCCCCTGAGGAGGGGCTAACCAAGCAGAGACCGCCGGATCCCACCGCCAGATCCCACCGCCGGATCCCCACCACCGGATCCCCACCGCCGGATCCCACCGCCAGATCCCACCGCCGGATCCCACCGCCAGATCCCCACCGCCGGATCCCTCCGCCAGATCCCACAGGTTTCTGAGACCCACATCAGATCCTGCAGCTGTGGCAGAGAGCGTGACGCATGCCCCCAGAAACTGCCACAGCATCTGTCCTACAGAGCAGTAATCGTAAACTACAATTGTGAGAAACATTTAATTTCCTTAAAAATCTTCTACATTGAAAATTAAAGACTAAATGACAGGCTGGGCGTGGTGGCTCAAACACCTGTAATCCCAGCAATTTTCGAGGCCGAGGTGGGCAGATCACTTCAAGTCAGGAGTTCGAGACCATCCTGGCCAACATGGTGAAACTCCATCTCTACTAAAAATATAAAAATGAGCCAGCCACAGTGGCATGTGCCTGTGATCCCACCACTTTGGGAGGCTGAGGGAGGTGGATCACTTGAGGCCAGGAGTTCGAGAGCACCCTGGCCAACATGGTAAAACCCCACCTCTGCTAAAAATACAAAAATTAGCTGGGCGTGGGGGCGCACACCTGTGATCCCAGCTACTTGGGAGGCTGAGGCAGGAGAATCACTTGAACCTGTGAGGCAGAGGTTTCAGTGAGCTTAGATTGTGTCACTGCACTCCAGCCTGAGTGACAGAGTGAGTCTCTGTCTCGAAACAAAACAAAAACTAAACTAAAAAACCCTGAATGGCTGGCACCATTTTATTACTTGGTATTCCTTTCCTAAAAAGGAAAAACTGATTTTTTACGTTGCTGATGCCCCACATCTACCTCAAGTTGTTTTTGGCAAGTTCCAATACTTCAACACCTCGAAGTACTGAAATACAAGCTTTTTACTTGGCTATTGCTGATGCCCCGTATGAGCAAAATGAACTTGTAGCCTTAACATAAACACATTCATTGGAAACATTCATTGTTAATAGACCAAAAAAAGACATGTGATTTCATCAGAACCAAAACGGAGGCTTCTACTCTTTTGTCCTATTTGGAAAAAGCCTGATGTCCTATTCCCACCAGGAACCTGACAGGAAATGTCAGCGTCACGGCTGTGTTCACGGAGGGTGTGCCGGCAGGAACGGGCAAGAATAGCTGTCGGGAAGGGGTAGCTTTTGTAGTCAGTAAATCTTTCAAAACCAGTAAAAGAACAATGCCAGGGCCAGGTGTGGCTCACGCCTATAATCCCAGCACTTTCGAAGGCCAAGGTGGGTGGATCACCGGAGATCAGGAGTTCGAGACCAGCCTGGCCAATGTGGTGAAACCTTGTCTGTACTAAAAATGAAAAAATTAGCTGGGTGTGGGGGCAGGAGCCTGTAATCCCAGCTATTCAGGAGGCTGAGGCATGAAAATTGCTGGAACCCAGCAGACAGAGGTTGCAGTGAGCCAAAATTGCGCCGCCACACTCCAGCCTGGGCAACAGAGCGAGACTCAGTCTCAAAAAAAAAAAAGGCAGATATAACGGAAGACTTCCAAATTTAAAATAGCAATAGTCATAGATGTTAACATATCCATGAGTCTTACCTAATTTATCAAGGGACACTTTTTAAGTTTAAGAAATTAAAATTTTATCCTTTAATTAAAAGTGACTGATAATACATAGACATCAAACAATAAGGCTTAGAAAATGCTCAGTGAGATTCCTCTCAAGAGAAGGCTCACACAGTGACAACATTTCTTTTCTTTTTTTTTTTTTTGAGACGGAGTCTCACTCTGTCGCCCAGGCTGGAGTGAACGGCGCGATCTCGGCTCACTGCAAGCTCCGCCTCCCTGGTTCACGCCATTCTCCCGCCTCAGCCTCCCCAGCAGCTGGGACCACAGGTGCTGCCACCACGCCCAGCTACTTTTTTCTAGTTTTAGTAGAGACGGGGTTTCACCGTGTTAGCTAGGACGGTCTCAATCTCCTGACCTCGTGATCCACCCGCCTCAGCCTCCCAAAGTGCTGGGATTCCAGGCAACATTTTTGCACCGGTTTTTACAGAATAAAGTCTGCCAGTCTCTCACTTTAGAATGGAGGAAACTGAAGGCGGCAGACCTTACGTAAGTTGTCCAGAGCTCCTGGTCCATTAGTGATGCAGTGGAAGCCAGCATCGGGCCAAGGAACCGGGAAATAGTTCTTTTTCAACTCTACCACATTAGATCTCCTAGATAACTGCATGTATTAAAATATTTGGTGTTCTAATAATTACATACCATATGAGTCATGGCAAAAATTGATGACTTTTAAAAAATTAAACAAAAATTTACTGGAAAGAGCTCCTGGCCGGAGCATTTCCATGACTCCTCCCTATCATCCCAACTAATGGTTCCTCTATGGCTCAGGCGCTTCTGCACGAATGAGTCAGCGGCAAGTCTCCGAAAGAAGAAAAAGCCCAACTTGTTTTCAAATCAAACTCTAGGGAGCATTTCTTAAGCAGGGAAAGAGGTCTCAGGAACAGATCCATACACATATTACATGGGACACATCCATTCATTTTGCAGTGGAATGCACCTTGGTTAAGGATAGGAATGTTTCAAATTATTTGGAAACATCATGATTTTTCCTGCAAAACGATGGCTATAAAATTAAATGTAGCTCACACCTCTTTACAACTTTTTATAATTGTACATTTAAAAATAAGTAAAAGAGGATATTTGAATTGTTTGTAACACAAAGGATAAATGCTGGAGGGGATGAAGATTCCATCTTTCATGATGTGATTATTTCACATTGTTTGCCTGTATCAAAATATCTCATATACCCCCTAAGTATATACACCTACTATGTACACATAAAAATTAGAATAAAAAATTTTTAAAAAACTTTTCAGCCAAATTTAATTTTTTTTTTTTTTTTGAGACGGAGTCTCGCTCTGTCACCCAGGCTGGAGTGCAGTGGCCGGATCTCGGCTCACTGCAAGCTCCACCTCCCAGGTTCACGCCATTCTCCTGCCTCAGCCTGCCGAGTAGCTGGGACTACAGGTGCCCGCCACCTTGCCTGGCTAGTTTTATTTTTGCCAAATTTAATTTTTATATAACAGTATGATAAAGTTTAGCTACTGACTAATGAACAGATGATTAGGGGAAAACGAATTTTTCTCATGGGTGACTAACTTCTTTTGAAAACATAAACAATGCAGTGTTTTAGACTTTTAGATTAAGTGCTGACATATATATTTCTTCATAAAATAATACTTTACTTATTTCAATTATGTAATTCAATAATTTACTATTTTATACAATAACAATCATAATATAATTGACTAAATTTAATCATTGGAATTGCAAAATTATCTGAAAAATAGCCCACAATTCCTTTGGTTTGTAACAGAGGAAGTCAGACAATCGTTTAATGGGGGGTGCTCATTAGACATTGCTGCCTCCACAAATGCTAGCATGGGGATTTGGGAGTAGTTTGTAATTTTTCTTTTGATTTTACTAAAGAACAATCAAAATAATTGCTTGATGTCACTCGTAAGTTAATGTTTCACTAAAAAGGAAACGAAATGCAAGGCCGTGAGGAGAGGCCTCCCAGGCGTGCTGCAGATGCACCTGCTTTAGAATCAGTTTTGTGACCTGGGTCTGCTCACTGAGGGTTTGTTAGGCTGGAATGACCTTGGTCTTTGCAACCCAATTTGTAAAAGTAAAGCTAAAAACATTTTAGCCTGTACACTCTTTTACCTCATCATAATTGAAACCTTTCTATTGAAAGGCACGTCTTCATGAATAGCATAGGGGAAAAAAACGCTTACCAGAAAAACACCTAAAGGACTGATGTGTACCTGAAAGTCAGCCATGGGCATGTAACATATAATTCTGTCATGATACATTTTGAACAAAATGATCACCTTCCCCCTTAGTTTCTAAAGGTTTTCCACACCCATCCCTGTCGCAGACCTGAAATGCCAGTATTTACAAGATAAATGTAATCACTGCAGTCCCAAAGTCTTGCAAGCTTGATCTGCCCTGACCTTCACTTGACCTGACCTCACCCTGCAGCCGTCCAGATGTAAGAATGGGCTTAGTTTCCCAGGATGAACCTCGTTAAATGGTGGAAATGGAGTCTACAGAGAGGTCAGAAGGTCACATTTTAATTGACCATTCATTGTTTACCATCCTGCCACTCCCAGAATGAGGAAGTGAGGAAGGAGAAATAGGGCTCCTCCGTAAGCAGTGGGAGGTTCTCAGGGGGCCATGTGCTGAGCACCACATATGCAGATGGGAAATGAGTTTAAGGCTGGCCTGAATTTCTATCATCCTAAGGAAGGTCACCTATTCTGCCCACAAAATAGAACGGCTTATGTTTAACTGAGAACCCTTTCAAGAGACAAAGACTGAGTTCCAGTGAGAGAAGAGAAAGCAAGCATAACGTGTATTGCTTTCCAGCAACACCTGCCCACACATTTCATTATTAGGACTAGGTCCCCAAATAAGTCACTTTAGGCAGCACATTGTGGAAAAAAAATGCAGGCATTACCTTCTGTGTCTTGCATATTTGCCACTGACATGACCACTGCCGTCACAGCCAGGGGTGGGACAGCTGCAACAGGAAAGAATGGATTACACGGTGCCGCAGGCAGGCAGGTGAGACGGAAAGCTTCCGTGGCAGCAGAGAGGAGGGTGGCCCGGACAGAGGAGAGAAATCACACAATCCAAAGGAGGGGGCAATTCGGGGAGGCTTTTTATGAGCAAGTCTTGGGGGAATTAATTTCCTCAGTGCAGCGGGGTGTGAGCAGGCCGCCCATGAGCTCGAAAGTGCAGTGTGCCCATTAGAAGGCGTGAATTTTCCAAACTGCGAATGGGGATGCATTTTACCCACATGGCACTAACCTGAACAGCTCTTGTATGGCTGGTTCCACGGGAACTGCAGAGAGATGGAAATAGATAACAATTTACCATCCATCACAAGCACCCCTCTTCCACAGAAAATTACCAAAAGGGTGGCATGAAAGTGGGGTCAGAGTGAATCGACCTCGGTTCCGCAGGACGAAGGTGACCCTGAGCTGGCCTCAGGAGGCAGGGAAGCGCGGACGTACCTCGAACCCCCTTGGACCGCGTGCGATGCCGCTTCTCCTCGGTGTCCACCTCCATCTGGGGATAGATTAGCAGCAGTCAATGTGCTTATCCGGCCTGTGCTGGCCAGCCCTGTAGGGGTGGCTCGCTCTCCCTGGCATTCTATTGATGGGGCTTTAATCCTGTTTCATTCTGTGAAGGGAAGCCCTCTACAAGGGCAGGGGGTGGGTAAGACCGGGGTCAGGCAATCTAAATGTATTATTCAAACAATTATAAACAGAGGGATTCAATGTAGGGAACACTGAGTCAGGAGGCCCTTGCCCTCTATAATAGGGTAGATTTTGATGAATCTTGAAGTACCATCTATTTACTCTCTTTTCAAGAATTTGATGGAGGCATATCTGGGTGCTTCTGAGTTGTAATTTGTACCAAGAATATAACAGCCATTAGGTTTACAAGAAGGTAAATATATATATTATATATATGTATTTTTATATATCTTATGTATATATAAAACATATATTTATATATAACATATATATTGTGTGTATATATATAAACCTTTCAGTTATAAGGAGAATCTAAATATTATATAAACATTATATATAACATATACATTATATTTATACACATGCATATTTTATATGTATATAATATTTAGATTCTCCTTGTAACTGAAAGGTTTAATCTGATTAAGCGGTTAAGACAAGAGGCTGTAGGTATAGTGGAAGAACATGTTTTACCATCAGGGATGCACTCTCAATATTGTTTAGTTCCTGGAATGCAACTATCCTCCACATTTATCTAAATTGCTAGGTTTCCTTTGAGGCATCTAGACCTTCCACTCATAGGAACTAACACATCTTATACTTGAGACATTACAGATGCTTTTATATTACTTTGTGGGATCTTCACAACAATTTTGTAAGGAAAGTATTTTTATTATACCTATTTAATACACAAGAAAACTAAAATTCAGACCACCTGAGTTAAAACCAAGATCATTTGAGTAGAAGGTTTTGGAGTAGGAACCAAAAAATCACATGTCTGCCTATGTTCCCTCTAAGCCTCAGGAGCACGCTGTTGCATGGCAAATACATGTGAGTACATTAGTTCAGCAAATATTCCCACAGTACGTCAAGTGCCTGCACATGGCAAACTGGAGAGCAAGATGGAGAGCAGGAGAACTCTACTCAAGCCGACGGGGGAGTTAAAAAGAGATGAGCAGTAGAAGCTGGCCAGAGCCCCACTGAACGGCCTCTACACCGGCTCACAGGGTACACCACAGCCACTTCCTCCATGGTTTAGAGGAAGAACATTGGAATTGAGTGAAGAAGACCCATTAGATGCCTGTGGCGCTATTCGATGCACACTCCAGAAAAGAACAGGGTAGACCTGCCGCTAAAATAAACTACAGCACTAGCAAGGCACAACTCAACAGATACAATACAAACAGCATCAGAAATCCACATGGACAGTACCTGATTTAATGTTTATATCAACTAACCAGCAGCTATTTATTGATGAATACTTTGGCTAAGTATTATGGTATCACGGGATAAAAACATACATATAACAAAAACATAAGCTCATTTAATTAGCTTAAAAATCTCTTAATGGGCTATATCCATGAACAGATATAACGATGTGCCAGATTTAACATCAAAACAAAAACTTCAGCAAAGGAGGAGCCAATGGGAAGTGGAAGCCGAGGAAAGATGCTCGGGGAAAGCTGTGACCCATGACAATTGTTTGTGTAGGTGTGAAAGGAAGGAAAAGAGACTGTCTCTATGACTTGTATCTAGAGGCTTGATATCCAGTTATTGAGTGAATGAATGAATGAATGAATGAGTCCATTTGCTGGGAATGCTGCAGGTCAAGGAGGTGCCTGAGGTGGAATGTTGGAAAGACAGCATTGGATAGCGCACACGACAGGCCTGAGCCAGGGCCGTGTGCAGAGGTGACAGGATAGCGCACACGACAGGCCCGAGCCAGGGCCGTGTGCAGCAGTGGAAGGGATGTCCCGGGAGGCACCGCTGGTCCAGCTGAATAGACAGCTGCTGGCCTTTCGAGCAGGGGGAGGACGAGTTGCAAATATGTTTTAGGAAAAAATAAGTTAGTGGCAGCTTCAGAGAGGGCATGGAGAGGGCAGGCAGTGCAGCTGGGAGCAAGCTGGGAGGAGACCAGCGGTCGCCTAAGAAGAAAGAGCTTGGGCAGTGGCCTCAACAGCATCTGTGGCTTAGTCCCATCGTCAGTCAATTCGGGAACATAGTTGTCTGGGAAAGAAAGAAATGGGTTTAAAAAGCTTTCTGATGGAAGAATTCACACAACACAATGGCTCATCAGGCAGCTTTTGGGTTTTCTGTCCTTTCCTATGACTTGAAGATATGCCTGGGATATGAAACTCTGACTGTGGCCACATTACGTGGATTTGACATTTAAATAAATAGCACCCCGAGTAACACAGCAATGCTCTGAAATTGCTATTCAACATGAAAATACTTCAAAACACCAGAAAATTCTAGTAAAGGGATGTAGGGCCAAAGTGACATGAGGCAGAGATGAACTAAGAGTCAAGAAGCCTAAAGTGATGGCGAAAACGCCATTCACATCCACGAGAAACGGTGTTTCCCGGGGTCCCCCGCCCTTGTCACAGGCCATTCACATCCACGAAAAAAGGCATTTCCCGGGGTCCCCCGCCCTTGTCACAGGCCATTCACATCCATGAGAAACGGCGTTTCCCGGGGTCCCCCGCCCTTGTCACAGAACTGGGGATGCAGAGATAATGGGGTAAAATCGTATTCTTTAAAGAATTCAAAATTGAATTAAAACCTTTAATGAAGGCCTATACATTGAGAAACATTCTCCAGGGGCTGTGGTGGAAGCTTGGATGAGGCTTCCATTGGATTCCATGGATTCCATTCCATCATTCCATCGGACGAGGATTAGGAAGAAGAAAGAGAAATTTCCTAGAAGAACTGATATTTGGGCTGAATTTTAAAGGTTAATTGGATGTTTCATTCTGGTTTAGTCTTGGGAGGGTGTATGTGTCCAGGAATTTATCCATTTCTTCTAGATTTTCTAGTTTATTTCCATAGAAGTATTTATAGTATTCGCTGATGGTAGTTTGTATTTCTATGGAATCGATAAAGGTGGTGATATCCCCTTTATCATTTTTTTATTGCATCTGTTTGATTCTTCTCTCTTTTCTTCTTTATTAGTCTTGCTAGCGGTCTATCTATTATCTTTTCAAAAAACCAGCTCCTGGATGAAGTTGAATCCCTGAATAGACCAATAACAGGCTCTGAAATTGAGGCAATAATTAATAGCCTACCAACCAAAAAAAGGCCAGGACCAGACAGATTCATAGCTGAATCAGAGGTACAAATGTCAGAGGTACAAAGAGGAGCTGGTACCATTCCTTCTGAAACTATTCCAAATAATAAAAAAGAGGGAATCCTTTTCCCTAACTCATGTTATGAGGACAGCATCATCCTGATACCACAGCCTGGCAGAGACACAACAAAAAAAGAGAATTTTAGACCAATATCCCTGATGAACATCGATGTGAAATCCTCAATAAAATACTGGCAAACCGAATCCAGCAGCACGTCACAAAGCTTATCCACCATGACCAAGTCGGCTTCATACCTGGGATGCAAGGCTGGTGCAACATACTCAAATCAATAAACATGATCCATCACACAAACAGAACCAAAGACAAAAACCACATGATTATCTCAATAGATGCAGAAAAGGCCTTTGACAAAATTCAACAGCACTTCATGCTAAAAGTTCTCAATAAACTAGGTGTTGATGTGACGTATCTCAAAATAATAAGAGCTATTTATGACAAACCCACAGCCAATATCATACTGAATGGGCAAAAACTGGAAGCATTCCCTCTGAAAACTGGCACAAGACAGGGATGCCTTCACTCACCACTCCTATTCAACATAGTGTTGGAAGTTCTGGCCGGGGCAATCAGGCAAGAGAAAGAAATAAAGGGTATTCAATCAGGAAAAGAGGAAGTCAAATTGTCCCTGTTTGCAGATGACATGATTGTATATTTAGAAAACCCCATCGTCTCAGCCCAAACTCTCCTTAAGCTTATAAGCAACTTCAGTGAAGTCTCAGAATACAAAATCAATGTGCAAAAATCACAAGCATTCTTACACACCAATAACAGACAAACAGAGAGCCAAACCATGAGTGAACTCCCATTCACAACTGCTTCAAAGAGAATAAAATACCTAGGAATCCAGATTATAAGCGATGTGAAGGACCTCTTCAAGGAGAACTACAAACCACTGCTCAATGAAATAAAAGAGGACACAAACAAATGGAAGAACATTCCATGCTCATGGATAGGAAGAATCAATATCATGAAAATGGCCATACTGCCCAAGGTAATTTAAGATTCTATGCCATCCCCATCAAGCTACCAATGACTTTCTTAACAGAATTGGAAAAAAACTACTTTAAAGTTCATATGGAACCAAAAAGAGCCCGCATTGCCAAGACAATCCTAAGCCAAAAGAACAAAGCTGGAGGCATCATGCTACCTGACTTCAAACTGTACTACAAGGCTACAGTAACCAACACAGCATCGTACTGGTACCAAAACAGAGATACAGACCAATGGAACAGAACAGAGGCCTCAGAAATAATACCACACATCTACAACCATCTGATCTTTGACAAACCTGACAAAAAGAAGAAATGGGGAAAGGAATCCCTATTTAATAAGTGGTGCTGGGAAAACTGGCTAACTATATGTAGAAAGCTGAAACTGCATCCCTTCCTTACATTTTATACAAAAATTAATTCAAGATGGATTAACGACTTAAATGTTAGGCCTAACCTAGGCGATACCATTCAGGACATAAGCATGGGCAAGGACTTCATGACTAAAACACCAAAAGAAATGGCAACAAAAGCCAAAATAGAAAAATGGGATCTAATTAAACTAAAGAGCTTCTGCACAGCAAAAGAAACTACCATCAGAGTGAACAGGCAACCTACAGAATGGGAGAAAATTTTTGCAATCTACCCATCTGGCAAAGGGCTAATATCCA